GACACCGTTTAAATCACTTGATGTCTTGCATTGATCATAGATTTATGAAACAGACTTCTTTGGATGACTTAAACTGATCTACATTTATGCAAATGTATAGAACCACTAGGACATGAAGTGGCCGACCATAACCATTGAGCAAAAATAGATTGTAAAAGTCACCACCATTCACCAACTTACACAGATCAATAAAATGGGTTGTGAGACCTAGATTCTCCATTTATGCTGGTGGTCTGGTCGGTACAGTTGTAAGCCACCAACAAATGATGCAGGTTGGGCTTAATGTCCAAGACCGATTCGGTAAATGCCAATCAGTGTCAGGTGAAAGTGGAATTTTAAGTTCACCTGAGGTAACTGGGCAAACTTCATATTTTCTTTGGCTAGCACTATATTGAAACTCTCTTTCAGTGGCATTCTTCTTTAATGGTGTACTTCGATTATTTTTATCTCTTTCAAAGTTATGAGCAGTTATTAGATGAAATTGATTATTGAATATTCATCTCATCACTATAACTGAGGATATAGCACAAGCTCTATCTATAAATTGAATATCTTTCTAATGAAATAGCATGAACAATAGTTTCTGGTCAAAACAGAAGAACCGTATGGTGATTTTCACTGATTTTGAGAGTTTAAAACATAATGAAGTAAAATAGATTTCATTATAGATAAGAAGATCCAACAAAAAAATCTTTGACACACCAAAATCCTGAATTTGGATGCTTTAGAGAAAAATCCACAGTTAGAAATTCACTTAAGAAACCAAAAATTACCACCCAGGCAAGAAAATAGAAAATTACAACAACAAAATACATAAAGTTATGAGATTATGGGTTTGGTCTCTTGAGATTGATTCTTATAAGCTAAGAAAAGAAGCGTTGTTGGTGTAAATGAGTAGAAGAAGAAGTCTCTTGGTGGTCTCGGCAAGGTAATAGACAAGGGCGAAAGTAGCGGGTTGTCACTAATTTTTGGGTTTTAAATTCTGCTAATTTGATATTGTTTTTGAGAGTTTGAAGGTGGTTGAGAAGTTTAGATAGTGATAATAATTTTTATTTAGTGCTTTGATCTAGGTTTGTGCTGGAGATTTAAGAAATTCTAAAAGAAGAAGAAAAGGTAGAGAAAAGAAGGATTTGCTTAATATTTTTAAAACTACTAAATAGCGCGTAGTCGGTGGACAACAGAAAACGAGCAGTAAATCATCATTAGTTTTTAAGTTGTTAATTTTTTTATTTTAGGTTTGAAAGTTTAAAAAGAAAGAAATGAATTTTTTTTTGGTGGTTTAAAAGTTATTATTTGTGGATTGATATGAATTTAAAGAAAGAATTAATTTGATTTGAGAGAAAATAAATAAATTTTTGGAAAGAGATTATGAATTTAAATAAAAAAATTTTAAATAAAAACAATAATTTTAAATAAAAAATAAAATTAATCATAAAATAATTAAATATTATATTTTAAATATAAAAAGATATTTTTACTTTTAAATTATAAGATAATTAAATGTTATATTTTCAATATAAAAAAATAATTTTATTTTGACTTTAATCAGAAAATATATTTCTATAATTTATCTTAAAAAAATTATAATTAATTGATAGAAACTAGCTGTTAATAAATTATTATATGACATACCGTACAAAAATTGCATAAATAATTATATTACACATCTTTTAGTTGTCCCTGCCAACATATAATATAATTGATAATTACGAATCACTGCCTGCGTACCGTTGCAGCTGTCATTTTCTCTTCAATTGGGTTGCCAGCCGAACAAGACGCTGATGGCGCAGCTCATTCATAAAAACGATGTACCTAAAATAACGAAGCATTTCATTTATAATTTTTTTATTATAATTTTATAATTATTTAATTATAATAAAAAAAATCTATAAGAAATTATTACTTATAAATATAAATTTTATATAAAATTTTATATAATTTTATATTATAATTAATTAATTAATTATAATAAAATAATTATAGAAAGTAAGATAAGTTTTAAAAATACACCTTAAGCCATGCACGAGGAAGGTTCTACCAATGCAATCGCAAATTCAGTGCATGTATTCCGGTATTTAAAAAGCAAAAATTCAGATTTCTGTTTCCCAAATTAAAAAAAAAAAAAAAAAAAGGTTTTTCAAGAAGGAATCTCAGAGCTACAATCCCATTGCCGACTTCCAACATCGTCAATCATAGTTGGTGGCTTAAACTCTTGAGCATCAACATCATCTTTTCATTTTTAATTATATATATATATATATATATATATATAATATGGCGATGAGGATATACGATGGAGCATTTTATCTATCATGATTATAATATAATTAATTAATTAATTAAAATTTATTTTTATATAAATTTTATATTTATACGTGATGAATTTTTATATATTTTTTATTATAATTGAGAAATTATAAATTATAATAAAAAAATTATAAGTGACATATTCTTCACTTATATTAATATAACTTTTTTTTGAATTTTTAAATTTAATATTTTAAATTTTAAATTTTGATTTAAAAATTCATAAAAAATACACTTGTTTAAGTAGATCCTTCGCTATGTATATGAGATTCACTTATGTATTAAAGCAATTTAGTTTTACATCATTTTATAATTTTTATAGAATATATAATTGTTCAATCTGACAATTATATTTTATGAAAATCATGAATTTAAAAAGATATATCACTACATTTAAAATTGAGACTTTTTAAAAGGGGAATATGAACAAAGAAAATGAGACGGCAGGAGTATTACTTATTTTTTATAGATAAAATCCTTGGAATAAATATATTTTGCAAGAGAATTAAAATAAGATTGTAATTGTGAGATTATCATTGCATTAAAGCATTATTTCTAAATTATTTTTAGTTGATGTTTTGTTAAGAAAGGATATTGATAAAAGTTGTTAAAACCAACACATGGTTATGTTCTTATCTATGAAGTAAGTAACTGATCTTATAAGTTAAAGTTTGGATAAATTTTAATTAATATGTAGATGCTTGTTATAGGAACAAGTTCACTGAACATGACTCGAGATAAGAATTTTGTATAGTAGGTCACATAGTGTCCACACCTACATTCTCATATGATAGTTGTATAAGTGATTCTTTGACTTGAGATTACTTATGATTTTATATGATAAATATTATATTTTGACTTTACTTTATTTACTTATGATTCTAACCAAGAATACTTCTATTGAGTATTTTTGGATCTCATATGAAGATGTATGATGTAATCAAGATGAGATTTATTAGTCTTTGTGATCAAAAGAGTATTTCAATAAGTCTTGATTGAATTAACTCAAGAAATTTTTGACCAAAGTGAAATAAGAGTTTATAATTGTTCTAAAACTTATTCTTGAGTTAATGTCAAGGACAATACTTAACATAGTTGAACAAAAATCGAATAGACACTAAACTATACTCAATGTTTTAGCTGAGATGTTTAGTGATAAAAGAATATTAATTATATATCAAGACAATACACAAATAAGTTGTCAAGCTATATTGATTTTTTTTTAACAATTGAAGGGTCATGAAATTAGCATTAATCGTGATCTATAAATATGAGATTGACTTATTAGAGAATTAGTGATAAAGTCAAAATGTTTGATTCATCTAAGTTCGAATATAGGGATTACAATGAGTATGTTTATTGTTAACATGCTAAGGAACTTAATGGGTCACACACAATAAGACATATTGTCAAAGATTAAAATTGGAATAAATTAAATTGGACTTAATTTTTTGGGTTAAAATCCAATAGAAAAACATACAAAAGTTCAATACTAATTGAGATATTGTATGACCAGCCAAATAAATAATTCTATTGATAATAAGACTTGATCAAGGAATTATTCTATTGAAAATAGAATTAAGCATAAAAAAACCCTAATATCCTAGGATTTTGACTTACTCCTTGTCTCTATATAAAAAACTTAAGCCGCCCATCGCGTGTAGTATTTTAAGAGAATAGGCATCTCATGTGTTAAGAACAATTAAGAAAAAACATAAAAAAGGGTAATCGATTAATCTCACTAGCTAGAGATTTCGATTTTGACTTCTTCTTATCTTTTAGAGAAGGTTCTTTCATCTTATTTGTGTGAATCATCATTAGAGGTTGAATGTTTAAATAGCTTTAGGCTTGCTAAAATAAATTCGGTGAACTTTTGCTTGGTGCAAAGTGAAATCAATACAAGGTAATTTACGACTAACTGAAATTACTTGTTATGTTTATTTGATCTTATTGATTGATATTGACCTTAAGAAGTTGAAAATTTTTAAAATTTCACTATTAGTACTCTGTATATACACAATTTCCCTAAACAATAAAATATAATTTTTGACTATTTAATTATTTAATATTTAAAAACAATAAATTAACTTAAAACTTGCATAAAAGTAATCTATTATTTGATTTTATACTATTCAAAAAATATCCATAATAAAAAATAAAAGTTAATATGATGAATGTCTCCTAAATTATAATAAAATTTTAATATAATATTTGAATTTAAAAAATTTTTAATGTGATATTTGAATTATGAATCTGTTAGTTAATGTGATATTCACACATAATATAATTAACTTCAAATAATGACCATTAGGCCACTGCTAAATAAGGTTGCTGTAATTTTAGCATATAATCAGTGTAATTCACTTATTTGTATCAAAGATTGTTACAGGAGAACCTTTTCAGTTCTTTCACACTTACTATACATTTGTATTTAAGATTAACTAAATTTGAATTCTAATAATTAGAATTAAAAGTTTAACACTTTATCAACAAATCACGTCGATTTTCATAGAAAATAATATGACCTGCCCTATCTCGAGCTATCAAAACAAAAGGAAATCAAGCTCTTGAAATAAAAGAAAATTACAATCTAAACTAGTCCCTTTCTTAGCCAAAGCATCAGCACAGAAATTGGCCTCGCTGTACCCGTGGCGGATCTCCACTGCGTTGAGTTTCCTGAGTATAGCCCTGCTATCCTCAATGATAGGACAAAGGAAGGCATTAGAAGGCTCCTCATTACGGAGTTAAAAAGTTTTACCAGCTATAGAATCAAGTTCAATAATAAGGTTTTGAATTTGAAGCCGTTCCTCAAGTCCGTAGACCATCTCAACATTCAGCAATCATATTTGGTTGTAAAACCCAATCTACGTGAACATCCTGACGCCCAATTTTCCTCACGGTTTCTAACAATGCCTCCATCCCCTTCTTTGCCAGGAATTTTCAATTGGTATCTAATTTAAACAGCCAGTGGGGGTGGAGTTGGTTTATGGTGAATATTAGACAGGGCAAAGAATTCAGAGGCATTAGCTATGCTAGTTTTCGTACAGTTCATAACATCTTCGTTGGAGGCATCAAGCATGGTAGTGCATAACTAAAATATCGAGCATGATTATTAGAATTGATGTCTGGAAAGAATTTTGGAATAAATAAGCAACTTTAGACCACTTGGTAAAACAGTAACATATCTACAGTAACAATTCTATGCAATTTGAACTTCCATGGCTAAATTTGAAACAAATCAACACATTAAAATTCATCATTTCCAAAATATATAGTAACAAAAAGGGTCTTTCCTGTAACTTCCAGCACCAAATTACCACTAAATACAAAGTACACAAATTTTCGATTAAAGTGGCAGATAGGGCATTCGATCAAACACTGTTTGCAAACTTGTTTCCGACTATGCACAGCCTTTCGGCTTTAGTAGTTAAGAATTAAAATTAAACCTATTTACATTGAGTTGACAATTAATATCAATGAGTGTTAATAGATGGTTGTGTCCTCAGGCATGGACTACTTGACTATTTATCAGCTCTACCCAATACCCTCTTCAGACCAGACTTCTGCTCTGCAGTGAGCCTCAACGGAAAGATGATATCAAATTTGATTTTCAGGTGTCCCTTCTTGCTGGGTTCTTTCGAGATTGGCATCCCCTCATTTGGGATCGCCACCTCATGACCTGGTTTCACAATATCTGTAACTGTGATCATGAGGTTTCTTCCATCCAAGGTTGTCAAACTGAGGGTAATCCCAGTGAGGGCCTCAAGAAGAGAGATTTTCTGATTGACAACCAGATTATTCCCATCCCTCTTGAAAATAGGGTGTGGTTTCTCATCTACCACAAAGATAAGATCAGCTGGAGTGACACCAGGTTCATGGTTTCCTTTCTCAGGAAAAGTAATTTTTGTGCCCTTCTTCCAGCCAGGCTTGATATCTATTTTTAAGATTTCCTCCACGGTCTTTGGCTTACTGCAAGAGAGTTTACTTGTACATCAAACAGAGAAGGAAAAAAAAATAAAGAATCTACAAAAACAGGAAAGCAGTAATTAAATCACAAGAAGTTGTTGCTCCCACCCAATACTTTTTAGCGATGAAAACAATGCAAGAAAAGGGGAAAAAAACAAAAGGGACAGCAAAATCCTATACTTTTCAGATATATTTGACTACATTATACTACACTTTTATCTAGGTAAGGTTACAATTTGCATTGAATAAACTGGACTTGGTCACACCTCACACACAAACTGATTGAATTCAAATGAAGACAAAAATTATGAGGCCCATGCTCTCTAGGTCACTTTTGATCCTGAAAATTTAACTATCTAAACAAACATCAATGATAAACACATTCATTATTCCAAATAAAGCAGCTAGTCTCGAGAAACACATGATGTTTCAGGTTAATTACAATTTATTTTCTTAATCAACCACGCAGCCTAACCACTATATGAGTACAAGAGAAGGGTCACCTTTCCTCATTTAAATGGATACACAGACAGATGACAACAAAAAAGACACTATCAGCCTATAGAACATTCAGTAGACAACAAAGTAGTAAGTAGAGTTTCCAAGTTCTGACTCTACTCATTACAATTATATGCTTGTCTTCCTGATTAACATAAAAAAATATTGCCGGGTTCAAGCTTGCTTTTTGAGTGAAGAAACACGAATTTTCTAAAAGGAGGATAGGACCAATTCCAGAGTATTAACATGCCAACATAAAAAATCCAGAGGAAGTGGGCCAATTTCATTTACTGGATAATTCCACAAGCTGCAAGTTCTACAGCCATCAACGGATCAATTTTAGCAATCAAATTCTAATCTTGCCAATTTCTGTTACCGGCATACCTCAATGCAAATTTACAAAAACAGGAAATAGAAGAAATTGAACTGAACCCATATACAGCTTTGAATTGAGGATATCCAGACTACCAAGATTCACCAAAAAACTGATTCCAAAAGAAATTCAACCAAGAGCCCATAGAATTCCACATTTGACTAATAGACACTGCCAAAACCCCTACTTAATGATGGGTGTCATCAATTTCCCTTAATTGTCCTCAACAATATTGACAAAATCCAAATCCAAACCCAAAATTCAGCTTCAAAAAGTAGTAAACATAAGTAAAAACCGACCCCCAACTCCCTTTAAAAAAAAAATCATCTTTGAACATGCATGATTTTTCTGCAATTCTTAAATTTTAAAAAAGTTTGATACTTTCAAATTGAAAAACACTAAAATCGATCAATCTCTCCGATTAAAGATACAGTTATCAATTTCCCTGGACTATCCAAAAAAAAATTTTGAGGAACAACACCCATACCAAGATTGCTCCTTCCCCAAAATTTAGGCAGCAAACAAAAACAGATTAAAGAATAAAAATCCATGTTTGAACATGCAAAACTTTTCTTTAAATCCCAATTTATATATACATTAAAAAAAAAAGGCTTAACACTTCCATCGTGAAAAAAAATACCCAATATGATAAAATTAGAAAAAATTGCATGTACTAACCCAAATTCATCAGGAACAGTCCGGGAAATCCGCATTTTCCTCTTACCGCCTTTATAAAGCTCCTCCAAACTACAAACCAACTTACTTTCAACCGGCGCCGCCTGCTTGTTCCCTTGACTCCCAACCCCACCATCTCCATAAAACCTCTTCTCCGACCCTCCAAAAAACTCCGCAAATATATCATCCGCATTACTCGGATTAAACCTGTAGGAATGCGGATTAAACCTGTAGGCCCCACTACCGACACCAGCACCGCCACCATACCCACTGGGGCTCGATAATTCAGCTGACTTGAGGCCTTCTTCACCGTACATATCATAGATCTGACGCTTTTGAGGGTCGCCAAGGACGTCGTATGCTTCAGAAATTTGCTTGAATTTAGCCTCCGCTTCTTTCTTGTTGATAGGGTTCTTGTCCGGGTGCCACCTCATTGCGAGGCATTTGTAGGACTTTTTTAGGTCCTCTTCCGACGCGTTACGGCCGACTCCTAGAATGTTATAGTAGTCAACTCCCATTTTCAGCTACTGGGCTTGTTATCTTTTTTGAAGATGTGAAATTTTTTCCTTTCTTGGGTTCGGTTTCGGGTTTTGTGGGGTTGAGTTCTAATGGAATGTTGTGGGAAATTAAAAAGTGGGGAAAATGGGGAATGAGAAGGAGAAAAGGCAGCGGCAAGTCTGCCGGCTTTTGGAAGCCAAAAGGAAGCAGGAAACTAGATATGTGGAAGCCTGGAACAGCAATCAGGATTTTTGATACGCGTTTGGTTGATTTTATTTAATTATTTATTTAATGGGAAAGTTTTGGCCCACATCTAATTGCTCAAATGGTTCCTTAACGGCCGAATATCATTTTCGCAAACAGATATTCTACTACACTCCTCAGTCCACACCTTTTTTTTTTTTTTTTTCCATCTTTAAGATTTCTGCGAGTATTTTCTTTTTATGAATTTTAGAAGAGTTTGAGTCTCTGAGAATTTCAAATAGCAGTTGAGATTGGGGATAATATGTGATTTAAATCTAAATTTACTTCCATCAAAATAAATTTAAGATTTACTATTACAAATCTTTTTTTTTTATCATAAGGTAAATCAAATTCTTTCATATAAAAATATGATTATTAAATTTGTGTCAAATCATTAATTAAAAAAATAAGATACACTCAAGATATTTCTCAAATTAATTTTTAATGTATAAATACTCACTTTTTTATACAATCTAAATTCATTTCATTTTTTGTATTTAAAATAATTATTCTTCATTAAAATTAAAATTTTAATATTTTATTAATAAAACATATAATTATTAATAATTGATAGAATTTCTATTTTAAAACTTCTATCGAGACAAAAATTCGTAAGTCAGTGGCGTGAGGATGAATATGTTTTTTTTTTTTACTTATTAATTTTTTAAATATTAATTTTGTTATTGTCTCAAAATTAAATTTAAAATTATTTTTTTATTAATTAGTGAGAGAAGTATTGGAATCAGAAAGGTGACAGGCTTGTAAAGATACAAAAAAGCGAAAATGGGAATAGAAAAATGGGAACGTGCAGTGCATTGCAGCGAAGAGACTTAAGAAAGAACGAATAAAAATAGGAATGGTGGCTATTAGCTGGGTTGGAGTAGAAAGTAGAAACGGTATCTTTCTTGCGTTTCAAGAAATTTTTTTAATTATATTTTGTTTTGAAAGTTGCAGAATGTGGTCGGAATCATTGGACACGTAACCCTTCCTTGAAAACGACACCGTCTTGATTCCTAAAACTTGTATTGATCCAACACATCCCTCCCTATTTCACGTGTTTATCTGCTCCTTTCCTTTTCCTAATTGTCCTTCCGTTGAGGTTGCCCTTTATTCCTCCCCTAGTTCCTTCATTAACACTTTACAAAATGAATTTACACCTTTAACATCTTAGGACAAGATGTACATACATTTCGTTCATCAAGTTGTTCATCATATTTAGGGATGGCATCGGGGCGAGGCAGATCGATTTTTTATTTTCCTCGCCTCTGACCGGATGCTTTAATATTTTTATCCGATACTCGACCCGTCCCCGCTCGAAGGTTGTAACTAAAAAATCCGACTTCGACCCGCTTGAATATTATTTACTTGAATTTTATTCGATCCCGACCCTAATTTAATCTATTACCTATTCAAAATTATTGCAAATGTAATAAATCATAATCTAAATATACTACAAACATGAACAGATTTAACATAATCACTTACAAATTCAAACTTAGTACATACATCTTTTTTTATTTAATAAAAATCTCATAAATTCTTACCATAAATAATAAAATTATAAAATACATAAAACATAGTAAATCAAAACTCACAAATTCTCACAATAGATGATGGAATTATGAAATATATAAAACTTAGTAAACTAAAATTCAAATATCAAACAAGCATAAGTTAATAACTAAAATTTAAATATAGTACATAATACAAGATAAACATTAAAAGCTTAAACTACCATAATAAAAAGTTAAATTGTTTGAACATTCTTTCATCCAATATGGTGAAAATCTTCTAAGACCATAACAAATCATTTCATTATCACTAAGCTTCATATCATCATTTTCCTCTAACCACAATAGTCCTATAAAATAAAACAATAAGATGAATAAATAAATATCATAAAATAATATATTTAAAAATAATAATACAAAATATGAATTAGTTAAAAAAGATAATATTATTTACCAAACTAGTTATCTTTTTCTCAATCTCACTATCATCAACATCCTCGTAAAAAGAATTTTCTTCTAATGAAATTGACCCTACAAATGAAATAATAAAATATTAACAAATAATATATAACAACAAAATATAATAACTAATAATATACTAAAATAAAAAATAAAATTACATAATATGAATTATTGTACCTTCTTTTTTTAGCCCATAACCAATTTTGACAACATGTTCAAGCTTCTATAGTTGATGGATGAAGTCTATTACGTTGTGCACTCACCAACCTTCCTCCAGTACTAAAAGTAGACTCTGAAGCAACAGTAGAAACTAGTATGGCATATATATCTTTAACAATAAGTTATAAGGTCGAAAATTGAGGTCCAGTTAGTTTCCACCAATTCAATATATCAAAATCTCCTTTTCTTGGTATGACTTCTTCATCCAAGTAACGATCTAACTCTAATTTTACTTTTGATTTTTTCTTTTTTTTCCTTGAAACAAAATCATCATAGTCTCCAAAATTTCTCAATTTAGTAACACCAACACCATCTAAGAATGAAAAGCTTAAACTAGAAGGTCCTTCTTCCTTTTTCAAAGCCAATTTCTCTTCATACTCCTTAAGCAAATCCCGACATATTTGCATAATCCTTTCAATTTCAAATTCAACATTTTCTCCATAAATCTTTCTAAAGTAATACTCCAACAACTCTATTTTGTACCTTGGATCTAAAATTGTAGCAACACCCATTATACCATGCACATCATTCCAATATTTTTCAAATTTGCCTAACATGCTCACAGTCATACATGAAATAATTCTATCGGCATGCATAATCCATTCATTCAATGCCAATCTGATTTTGTAAATATTAGGAAAATAAAGATTTACAGTAGCATATTTTGTGCCAGCCTTCAGTGATATCATAAAACAATTTCAACTTCTCACAAATCTCGGTTGCAATGATCCAATCATTTTCAGTTGGTAAATATTTGTACAAAGGATCACCATATAATTGCACACAACGAGAAAAAACATCTTTATAAAACAAAGCTGTTCGAAGCATCAAATAAGTAGAGTTCCATCGTGTTTTGACATCAACACATAACTTTTTTAAAGTTGGAATGCGTAATTGACGCGCTGCCTTTTCAAATTCTTCCCACCTCTTTGGTGTAGCACCCCAAAAAAGGACACTATCACGAATTCTTTCAATTCCATCTCCAATCACACGTAATCCATCTTTCACAATCAAATGCAAGATATGTGCACAACAACGTATATGAAAAAAGCCCCATTAAGCAAAAATGCATCACAACCAATTCTATCAATTAACAACTCAATAACACCATCATTCACACTACAATTATCCACTGTAATAGATGAAAGTTTTCTATCAATATTTCAATCTAGGAAACATTTCATCAAACTTGAAGTAATGACCTCTTTTGTATGTGGAGTTGGCACATATTCAAACCTAATTAAACAATCAATTATTTACACTAATTTAATAATTAATTTAATAATAATAATTACTTAATAAAAATAAACATTATCAAAATAAGATAATTTAATAAAATATACCTGATGATGCGTTTTTGTAAGTTCCATTGATTATCGATGTAATGAGCAGTGACAGCCACGTATCCTCTTTTTGGTGATCAGTAGTCCACATATCAATTGTGATAGCAATTCTCCCTTCATTAGCTTTCAACTTGGATATTATTTTTGCCTTTTCCTCTTTGAAAATCTTCAAAATATCACTCTTTATAGTATTTCGAGAAGGCATAGCAAATAAAGGTTGGAGACTGTAAGAATACTTTTTGAATTGCAATGATCAACCATTGATAAAGGATATTCGTGCATGATTATCATGTTGGCAAGCTCCCTCATTGTGACATTTTGATCAAAGGAAAAGTTTTTTAGTGTTACTTTTCCATCTGCCTTCCTTTGATTTGCTACCAGCACTTGTTGACGAATATCCATTTGAAATCGCTTGTTGTACCTCTCTGAATGCTCACGTAAATGACTTTTCCCATTCTTTAAAGCACCACCAAGTTTTTTCTTACAATAATTGCATATTGCCTTCCATTCATTATTGATCTTTTCTTTTTTAAAATGTTTCCATACTTCTGATTTTAGCTTACTTGAATTATACCCACTATCATCAACTTCAGCACCCTGATTCGTCACACTTAATGATTGAGTTATATTTTCATCAGATGTTGGAATTGGAGTTTGCTGAATTGATGATTGATGTGAGGTAGAAGTAGGAGGTGTTGGGGAACACAAATTATCTCCCAAATTAGACATTTTACCTTCATTCATAAAAAAAAAATAGAGTTATTATTTTTTATATTAACAAATAAAACAATTGAATATATTAATTATATAAAACCAAAATAAAAAGGTTTATTAACAAATAATTCTACCGAAACAATTGAAAACCAAACTTAGAATCTAAGTATCAAAAAAATTAAACAAGTTCATTCCTTAAAAAAAAAATTTATGAGATTATCCTACCATGTACAACTTAGCATGCACCTTTAGCCAAGAAACTATGTAAAGCAATAATAACAATATAAAACAAGTTAAAGTATCTTCATTTGTCTTATCAAACTTAAAAAGCCAAGAAACTATGTAAAGCAATAATAATAATAATAATAATAATAACAACAACAACAACTAGTTAGTTCATCAACTTCCTAGATTATGAATGATTCCCTACATTAACTGTAACAATTCTCATGTGTGAGTTGATTAACTTTATAAATGTTCCAAGTTAGAAGAAATTGGGACTAATTTTAATTGTAGATATAGGTTTTGTAGTTGCACCACTGCAAGAAGCTTTTCTTTATAGAGAAATTTTGCTCACAACATTAGAGTATGGAAGCTAACATCTATATCCTTGGAAAAGATGAATTCTATTTAAATCTCTTGGAAAAAGAGTTATAAATTTGACAATCACTTATATTTGTGAACGAGGGTGGTTTAGAAACTGCATAAACTGTGAAACACCATGAGTACAATGCAGCTTCAATTTCGAATAGGCCAAAGTTCGTTAAATCGTAAATAAGACAGAA